TCTGCCTAAGCTAGGTAGATCTTGAAATGAGAGGCTCCTATTTCTTTTAGATCATGAGCCATGTCCTCATTCTCTCAGACTCACTAGCAAACCCCATTATAGTACATGTGATCTGGCTCAGGTATTCTGGAGCAGATTCTACTATCACCAGAAACTGGTTAGGAATGTTCTCTTTAACCAGAATATGGCCATATTCAGGGTGTGGCTCACCATAGGAAGGAAGTTAACACCTGACAGCTCTTAAGAGTCCCCAGAAAGACCAATCAAAAATAAACTTTTAATTATATATAGATAGATAGATAGATAGATAGATATCGATATATAGATAGATAGATAGATAGATAGATAGATAGATAGATAGATATAGATATATATCTGTATATTTATCATTCTTATCGATTGATTGGAATGACTCTGGGGATCACAACCCAGTATTTACAGAACCAAACTTCAGTTTTTATAGAATCAAATCTCCAGGTATATTCTACAATACAAAGTTTTAAATACTCTCAAAATTTACACACCTCCACCACTTGCTTTTGTCTCACTTCACGCATTTACTTTACCCTACCTGACCCCTGAAAACAGACGAGTTTTAAAAAGTGAGCTTAACCGAGTTAAAGTTCATCAAAGTTCAGTGTTAAGGCTCTCTTCTTTGAGAGACTTCTTATTCTCTCCCTAGGTAATGACATCCATTCCAATGGCTTTAATTAAATATGATCTCAACGTAAAGTATGTCATCATCACAGCTAACTTTTGAATGCTTTCTAGGTACAAGGAACTGTTTTAGCATTAACTCATTTAATCCTTACAAGAATCTTATGAGTTAGGTACTCCTTTCACTCTCCTTAAATATGATGAACTGAGGCATAGAGAGATAATGTGTCTTGTCCAAAGTAACACTGTTAGTGATGGATAAAGCCCAAATTTGAATCAGGAAATCTGGTGTCAGAGCCCCTTTTCTTAACCACTATATTCTAATGCCTATGCTCTATGTATGAAAACATGGTCTCACTTGAACTTCATTGCTTCTGTGAACGCCCACAGGGGAACTACACAGTTGTAGAGACCTGAGCATCAGGACTAGTTGGAACACTGAGTCGGTGAGAAAGCAAGATTGTTTTTCTATGGTATTTTAAAGATAGATGTAATTTAAATGTTAAATTCCTTAACCATATCACTTATTTCATTCATATTCACAAAAAAAGAACTGTGTACTTAAAAAACATCTCATTACTTACCTTTGATATCTCTATGAACAATCATATTACTGTGCAAATAATGGACACCCTCTAGAATCTGACGAGTGTATTTCCTAGTCACATTCTCAGTAAGAGCTCCATATGCTTTTAATTGGTCCTTAATTGAGCCCTAAAAGTAAACAAAAGAAAACTATGGTACGATTTAAAATAAAAACCACTATTAAACTTTTATTTTTAAAAGAACCCTAGTTCAAGAGTGGGACACTTTAGTTGGAGAGCACAGGAATTCTTAGTAAGGACATTATATGCCATCTCTACTATATTCCCTGACTAGAAGTGTGTAAGAGTAAGAGTCACAGCTGGAGGAAGCCTTTAAAACTGTTTTTTGACCAATACTCCTGTTTCTATAACTATGTTGATTCTATCACCTATTTCTTGTGACTGTGTTTTTAAAAATTCGCCAGTACTTTTACATCCCTTTATTTTGCCCTGAATATATCTTTGTTTTTCCTACTTGCTCTTCCACATATGTCCTACTTTAGTTTTATTTATTTTTTCTTCTTGTTTTTAGAATAGTGTTTTATTTACATCTGCTAATTAATTTACTTCTCAAGAGGAAGGATGGGTATGATTAGAAAATGAGAATATACATGAGATTTAAAATTTTTTCCTTTATATACTAAACGTTCTAGGTCAAAAGACAAAAATACATAAAGAGGGCATTTCAAATTCTCTTAAGTGTTTTTAAGGCAGGATGAGGTGCCAGCTCTGAGAATGCTGAATCAGTCTGAGGTGAGGCATAGGCGCCTGAACTTTGCAAAAGCTTCCCTATTGATTCCAGTGTGCAAATATGAATAATCAATCACTCTGAAAGATGGAAATAAATGCTTCCTGAGGAACAAAATCTTTTTTTAAAACAGAGAATATATTCAAATGTTTCTCCCTTTCCTTGAATTTTAGTAAATTATGTACTTTGTCACATACAAGTAGATCCTTGGATCTCATGGGTTTAACCATTTGCTGTTTCCACTATTCATGAACAATCACTGAAGGGATAGCAAGATGCAATTCTGCTGGCCCAAACTTGCAAACACAGGTGGCAAGCCTTAGGCAATGAATGAATCCAGCCAACCACCCTCACCTATTATTCAATGTGGCTTGTTTGTTCAGTCTACTTATTGTGCCTCTACTTATACACAAAATAACAGAGCTAGAAATGAGCTTTCCAAACAATATGCCCCAAATATTTATAGGCTGCAAATGAGCGGTGGACTTATGGATCCTCTAAGCTCTCAGGCAGCTGAGCCAGTAGCCTATCGCACTAACAGATCCATTGGTATAGTCTGTTCATCTCTATGTACCATAAAATGTTATCTTCTTTGGTGTGAACGACTGAAATGGGTTGGAAAGCATTGTGCACCTAAAAATAGTGTGTGTGCATGTGTGTGTGTAAACCTAACAAAGAAATCAACTGCTAGTCCAAAATAAAATAAAGTTATGGTTCTAGTCTGAAAGTCGTTCCAGATAAACTAAGGAATGGAATGCTATATATGAGAAGACTGAAGAATAGAATGAAAATTTTGATGAAGCCTGAATCTAGGGTACAAAGGGGTCCACTGTACTAAATTTAATGAGAGAAATTATACAGCATCATTAACAAACTTGAAGATTCAGGAAAGTCTAGGAACATATATATCCAGCCCACATATGCCATGTGCTTATTACCATATGTACACTTCACTATATTGTCAATGAACTATTATTAATTAGGTAACTTGATTTTCAAATTCAAGGAATGACAATTTATACTTTGAAGTGATAGCTGCCCTTACAAAACCAAGTGTAGTTAATGAGAAACACAGACATAACACTTCTTCCTGAATAGTCCTGGTTTAGTCTTAAGATTGCTAAATGTGTAAAGATTACACCCATCTTCATTTGTGATATAAACCAGTTGTAACCAATTAACCATTTTAATCTTATCTTCAACAATCTGAGTTTCTATTCACACTTATGTATAATTATTTTCTATTTTAATTTAAATATTTATTGCATAAACAGTAATGGAAATCTGAATAAGAGAAAAATCAATCAAATCCCAACAAAACACATTTTCATTTTCTAAGTGTCTTCAGTCCTTGTCCAAATACAAACACTTATTAAACATCAAAATAATTATTTAAAAGTATTTTATATTATTTTCTCTTATAAGTACTTCCTCTAACGAAGTCTTCACAATTTTAATTTTTAACATATATTCTCTTAGACAATATCACAATTTACTTCTGTGTGCAATTAATTTCCTTTTTTTCACATCACAGATAATACTAAAATAATGTATGCAGCTTTTTCCTTCTTTAGGAGTACTTCTGCAGAATAAATTTCTGTGAGATTACCAGTCCAAAAGGCTTCAATATTTTTATAGCCTTTACTACATCTCACCAATGTGTTTTCAAAAGGGGATTTTCTAAAAAACTAATTTACAATGCCAATAGAATCTTTGAAAATAAAATGTAGCAATATGAGTAAGAATTGTCACTATAAACAGTTAATAATTCCAGAGGAAGAGAAACAAAGTTTACTGTGAGACAGGATAGTTGAGACCATTACTATTAGATGCTCATCCACAGTTTTACCGATCCATAAGCTTAAACTGGAACCTTGTACATTCTACATATAAATCTGATAAACGACACCCTTAAAAAGCCATAAATCAAAAACCTTTTTTCTAACATTAAATTAAATTATGGGAATATTAAATTATGGGAATGCATGCATTTTTAAATAAGTAAATATACCATCTTGAAAATCATTAGTATTAGAACGCACTCTACAGATACTAAACATAACATAGAAGGAATGACAGAGTTTGCACCTTCTAATGAAATTACTGATTCAGGCAATGATTATCGATCTGTGTTAAAAACATAATGTGAATGGTTGAAAAGGAACTGGATATTCCTATATGCCACTGCTATAGTTCATATTATTTTTTGGTCTTCAGGAAAAAACAAAACTTTACAATGGAGGAATCAAGACGTCAAATACCTTACTCTGGCAGTCATCTGAGCATCACTAACAATGTAACAACCAGAAATTGTATATCTCCTAATGGGATACAACATGAAGTACACAGCATCATCTAAGATGTATTCTAATAAAAAATGTTGAATTCGAGTCTAATTTAGACTTTAGATCTAACCTGGATTTTACAGGAAATAAGGAGATAAAAGAACAAATTATATAACATCATGAGGATACAATTAGAGAAATCTATGAACTCAAACTGTCAACAGAACAACTAGCCTGGTCTATTTGTGAAATGTAAAAATTGTCCTAGACAGGTGAATGTAATGTGTGGTCCTAGACTGGATCCTGGTTTGGATAAACCAACTATTACGGATATATTCAAGGCATTTAGGGAAATCTGAGTATGGACTGCTATGAGGTCTATAACCTATTTTAGTATATTTTAGCATTTTTTTAAAAAATGAATTAAAAAATACAAAGATAGATGAAAACAGAAAATAATTTAAAACTCTTCCAAAAAGTCCTTAACTAGGTGTTACATTTTATGATCAGTTTTATTGTTTTTCTTTCCTCAACTAAGACTTTAAATAGAGTAAGTCTATTTACAAAGGATGTACTAACTTACCCCTGGCATATATTCCATAAATATGGAAAGTGTTTTTTCCTGGGAATCCCTCAAACAGCCATAATATTGAACAATTCGTTCATGCAGCAAGTTTTTCAACAACTGAATTTCACACTCAAGTGCATTTACTTCCTAAAAGACAGAATTCACTGTTAAATCTTTTGTCCAAATACAAAAGCACTGTTAGTAAAAGCAAAAAAATTCAAGCTTCATGGACTATCAAGGTGATATCATTACAAAATTTTTACTTCCTAAGGAATAAACGTTTTAAAGTCTTTAAACAATAACTTTTATAACAGTCCTAGAAGGTAGCTAAAACAACACTAAATCAGATTAGGAAAATAACTGGGTATTAGAAGAGAAAAATCCACAGTACGAAGTATATAAACATGTCTCATCTATTTGTTTTGCGAAAAATTTATAGTAAGGAAAAATAAAAATTCTATTGTGTATTTTATTTTAGTAAACAAGCTTTTTTTGTGTGCAGTGATTATGCACTGTTTGTGCAGTAATTCTTACCTTACTGGTCTCAGGGCTATCAGGGTCAAACTGAACTTGCTTAACAGCCAGCTCTCTTCCTGTATCGACATCATAACAGAGGTAGACTCTGCCAAAGGCTCCCTGGCCTAGCAGTTTGCCCAATCTCCAGTTGGTTGGAGCACGAGGTGCTAAAAAAGAACATTTTCTTAAAAAGGAATAGCCAGGTGGCACAAAAATGGTTAAGGAATAAACGAGTATACTGCATTAGTGATTGCATATGCCTGGATATAAGGAACACTCATGATCCTCCAAGTTCATAATGATCATCTTTGAAAATTTTTCTGTCAATTTTCTAAGAATTCTAAACCCAAACAAAGTTCATAATCCCATAACTCATTTTTTTTCCAGTGAAATTATTGTTTTCCGAAGTTATGAATGTAATACTATCTTTTACTCAATTTGATGCCATTGATATAAGATGCACTATTTGTAATCTTTATTGCAGCCACATATATAATTAGATTTCCATCTGCCTATGATGTAGGAAGTTGGAAAGAGCCTCACTCTCATTCTAACACAAGAAAATCTTGAAAGCAGCCACAGAGGGGAAAAATCAAACTACAGACAAGAACAAAGATAAGAATTATAGCACACTTCTCAGAAAGTATATAAGCCAGCAGACAATGGAAAAATAGATTTAAAGTGCTGAAAGAAAAAAAAACTGCCCTGAATTCTACACCCAGAAAAAAAATCTTTCAAAAATAAAAAATAAAGACCTTTTTCAAACAAAAGCTGAAGGAATTTATTGCAAGTAGAGTTGTAGTACAAGAAAAGTTAAAGTAATTAATCAGGCAGAAGGAATTTGATACCTGACAGATTCTTGGATCTACATAAAGATCTACAGAAGTAAACTAAAGGTACATATAAAAGACATCCTTCTCTTATTTTTTAATCACTTTAAAAGATACCTGTCTAAAGTGAAAATAGCAGCAATAGATATTAAAGTAAAATATGACAACACTAGCACAAGAGAGGAATTTGGAGTATGCAAATACTGCTGCCATCTTTGAGCATGAATCTTTGTATGCACTGCTTACATGACAAAGTCCAAATATTTCACAATCAAGCCTCAGTTACCATTCTAGACCTATTCCCACTCTTTCAAGTAAGATATCCTCCACTTCAGCCCAAAAAGAACTATTCTCCACTCTAAGAACATGCCATGGCCTCTAGCACATGCCACCTCCTGAATTGGTAAATTCCTACTCACATTTAAGATCTAGATTAAATGCTATACTATAATTATTCCTCCACACATCATTCTCCCTATTAGATTACATCTCAGGTTGCATTTGAAATCTCAGTGCAGGAACTCAACAAGGACATGTGAAATGAATTAATGGATGACTAATTGGTAACAATTTTCCTAATAAAAGCAAAGGACAGAATCATCAAATGCAATTAGCAGTCATACCACGCTTATACCTGATATTCCAACCACCTTTAGAAATATCATTTTTACCTCTTTTGAGAAGCTGGTCTCACTCTGAGGACTGGCTTAGCATTTATTCCTTTTAATACTATAAAATTCTGTAGAGTTTCTGTTATACGTTTCGCTATGCCAATTTTTATTACTTACAGCGGCTGGGTGGGCTGATGTCCATTACAGTCAAAGTAGGATTGTCTATGTCACTTCCCCTTCTTCTTATTCGACTATCATCATACTCTGGGGTAAAGATACTGCTTCCACTACTAGTGCTTAAGGAGTGATCAGTAGGACTAAAACTCACAGGAGACCGGAAGCTGGTCCCCTGGGTCCTTCTAGCTCTTGGAAAAGTTTTACGACCTACAAAACGAAAATATAATTACCTCAAAACTTTTAATATGTTATAATTGAATGTATTTAAAATTTGTAATGTAAGGAACAGAAATTTCTCCTGTGACTAGGCTAAGAAACCAAAATATCAATGATTATTTGATTATATGTTTTAAACCTAGGAGTAGTGGTTTTCTTTGAAGAGTTCAAAAAAATATCCTTGTGAAAGTGAATCATGAATGAAAATACAAGGAAGACAAAAGGTAAAAGCAAATATGAAAGTAGGGAAAAAATGAACAGCATCTGAATACAAATTCAAATAATCTCATGTTAAAACATATGCACACACATTCATAAAATCATAGAATAGAACTCCTTTACTTTTGGATGAAAAAAGAAAAAAAAGATTTTATTCTCACTTCCAATAATAATTTAAAATATAAAACAAAAATTGTAAAATTTATAGGTTGCAATGTTTTTCCTTAAAAAGAAAATACAAGTATGAATTTCATTAAGGAGTAACTTTCTAATTAATAATAATTTATTAATGACTCCTTTTCTTCTCAGGGAAAGATAAATACTATGAGGTAAGTTGGCATAAAGTTAAGATATTAGAGTTTTAGTTATAATTAAATTTGTTTAAAAAAATTTTTAGGCAGAAAACTAAGTGATTTGGGAACAAATTTATTTTTAATAGTATTATTTAAATAAGGAAATATTATTTTTATTGATTATTTTTGAGAATTTCCACGAACTGTTTTGTGATCTAATTTCCAGCAACTTACCATCATTATACTCTTGATGATGATATGAAACATGATACCTTCTTGGATATGTTCCTCCTTTTCCAAATTTCTCAAAGATAGGGTTATCACAGTCTATTAATACACATAAGAAATTTGTATGTTAATAAGTCAAATATTTCTAATGATGAGAAACACATTTACACATTTTTATTTGATTAAAAAATAATTCCCCTCTCCTTACCATCTAAAACATTATTCGATAACATAAATATTTAAACATTTAGAATGTAGATAAATCTAACCTGAAAATTCCTGATGATTATCTGGGTAGCTCTGTGCCCTAGGCATTCGTGATTTTGGATAGCTTTCTCTAAAAGCAGAAAATGTCACATTAAATTAAGACATTTGTAAATAAGACATTAATAAATCTTTATGCAATATTAAAATTGGCCCACAGAGAACAGTGGTAAGAATGACACACTTGGAAATTAGGGATGTTTGGAAATCCTTGTGCTTCAATCCTAGCCCTGCCACTTAACTGGCTGTTGCAACCTTGGCAAATCACCTTTCTAAGACTGTTTCGACATCTACAGAAAGGAGATAATTTCCGTCTACGGCCATGCCACCCTGAAACAGCCTGATCCCATCTGACCTTGGAAGCTAAGCAGGGTCAGGCATGGTTATTACTTGGATGAGAGACCACCTAGGAAGACCAGGTGCTGTAGGCATAAAAAATAAGAGACTGTAAGCTGACAAGATCCTTGCAATCTGTGAGGTCAACCAAGGGGTGCCTTGCCTAAAAAAAAAAAGAGACAATTTCCAACTCATCAAGTATACAGATTTCATTCACATTTCTATTTCCTTGAATTTATTAAATGTTTTAAATATCTGTCTTGAGGTAGACATGGGCAAAGACAAAGGTTTCATGTACACGGGTAACAGAAAATTAAATGTATATTCCCATGCAGTATTAGTTATATTTTCACAATTTGCTTTCATTTTCAATTTGCTTTCATAAAGCAATCCTAAAGGAGAATAAGCAGATAAAGACTTTAATAAAGACACTGACTCTGTGCAACAGGGTGACTTTGTGTGCTACTGTCCCAACTGAGACCAGGAGAGAGGGAACACCTATAACAAAATATTCACAGTTGCAATCTGACCTGCCTTATATTCCTAAACAGCTATTTCACAAAACAAAAGTACTTAAATTTTAAATCACAACCAACATACTGGGCCACAATTACCAAAAATGTAAGTTATTTATAAATGGGTGCCAAATGTACATAATCCTGAACAGGTAAAATAACTCAAGAAATCTCCAAAACCAAACATATTAATAAAAAATTTGATAGCAGTTTTGCACACACAGTTTTAAAAGTAAACTTACATAAATTCTCAGTTTGCATTTAGCTTTAAATACAAAATTTTGGCAATTATAATCAGATATAGCTTTAATAATGATATTGAGCCCCATGAGGTTAAGGGGTTTATCCAAACTAAGAAAATTCATTTGCCGTTAAGTATAGACAAGTATCAATTACATTCTCTGAACGTAGCACAAAGGAGTTGATAACATACTATCATACATATATATATATATGCATATTTACCCACAAATATATTAAAAAACAAAACTAAAATCAACATTACCCATCCAAAGGACTATCGAGTGATGGACAACTTCCTGAGCCAGAATTTTCAGGGCTGCTTAAAGATAACGGGTCCAGCATCTAGAAAAATATAGAGTTCCACTATGATTTGATGTGATATAATCAGAAGTTAGTTTTTTTTAACAGCTTTATTGATAGAATTCATGTAACATAAAATTCACCCATTTAAAGTGTAAAATTCAATGGTTTTTAGTATACTGAGAGTTGTGCAACTCTCACCACAATCTCAGAACACTTTCAGGACCTAAAAAAGAAACCCCATATTCAAAAGTCACTACCCAGTTACTCATTTTTAAATGTTTAAAATGTAGTTGTCCCTTATAGGTGGGCTATGATTTCAAAATTTCTTGAGAGAAAAATAGACTTTCTCTATGGACTATCAGCTAAATGATTTCACATAATTTTACTCACTGAAAACCGAACAAAGGTCCCACCTAAATTGAGACTCATGATGCTGTGACTGCTACATTATTAGAAATGAAAATTGCAATAATATAAGCAGCCAATGCAATGTTAAGGAAACAGCAGCAACTTCATGGAAAAACTTCAATACTAAAAAACTTTTAAAAACCTTTTAAAATGTTTTAGAAAGCTTACAAACCTCGCCTTCACGAAGTTAAATATTTGTAGTTTTAATGTATCTTTCAAATGTTAATTTTAGGATCTGAATATTAATCCCGGGATTACAAACACATGCATTTATTCATTTATGGATGAGCAATATAAGAAAATCAGTCTTTTCGGCTTTCCAGCTTTCTAGTTTTCTATATACATGAATAAACACAAGAATATGTAAATTAGTGGGCAATTTCCTGCATTTTTTACTATTTTGTTCACTTAAGACGGAAGGTACAGGGGCAGAGAAGAGGTAAAACACACACATACACCCCTGCCAAACCACACTGACCTTGACAACATTCCGTTTAATGAAATAAAAAACCATATCCAACTTTTGCTTACTTGGTCCATGCTCTCTGGAATGAACTCTCCTTCACTATTGATACTGGTGAATGACCCATTCCGGGCAACCTGGTGTAATTCATCTGGAATGTATCCTGGGGGAGGGGAGCTTCGATCTCTACCAGTGGGACCTCAAAAGAGAAAATATATGATTTTATAAATATCAGCAAGAACCAATTTTTGTTTTAATTAAATATACACACAGAATTTCTGGACTATAGTACAAAAATTTTAGCAACTGAAACTCAGTTTTTATTAAAACTTGTCAGAACATTCAAGTCTACAAAGCTTCAAATGTTTTTATAACTTTCTATAATTATTAACTTCACTGTAATATTCATTTGTAACTTATTAGGTAGTATAGTCTTCTGACTGCACTATAGGGTTGATAATACAATAAAGATTTTAAGATAAATGCCACTGCTTCTGAACTTCCAGAGGTCACGTGTACCCAGATATGTTACCTCTTAACATAATTTATGGAAGGCATCATGATGTAGTGTAAAGAATATAGGCTTCAGAGTTAGACCTAAGTTTGAATCCCAGTTGCAGTTATTTATCAGCTGTATGTCTTTGGGAAAGTTATCCAATCTCCATGAACCTGTTTCCACACCTATAAATACAGTACTAAATCCTTCCTTTGCAAGGGTATTGTGATACTAAAATTATTCATAATAAACATATGCTATCTACATTTGGCTCTATGTTCTTTCCTTAGTCCATATTAGTGTGTTTTCCACTTGGAGGCCCAGATTTTATTCTCGGGTACTTAAAATTAGACTTTTGTGTGGCAAGCCATGTTTAGAAAATCAGAGAATCTAATATAGTTCATCTAATTAATCACTACATTTCTTATTAGACAATAATCCACTTATTTTTACCCAGTTCTACAGAAATAACACTATGCTTATTAACATAGTTTCCCCCCTTTTCTACTAATTTTTTGAAATTATATAAAAAAAGATAGAGGGAAGTTATGTGAGCATTAAAAGTTCCAGTCAGATTTAAAGCAAAAAAGGTTTTTGCCTTATGTTAAGGAGTCATTTTAAGTATAAGCCAGCATTTGTTAATAATGAGATACAAAGGGATTACCAACAGATGTGCATAAAAGAGGTAATTTCCTACACTTGACTCTAAAATGATTAGGGGGCTCAACTTTCAGCCAGAAATTGACTTAGGCTTTGTAACACCTATGAGTACATTTTTTATCATATTTTTGTGATCTTGTGATCATATGCTCACAACTATGATCATATTTTGATTCCTTCCATATACCCTTGTTTATAAAAAAAAAAAAAAACGACCAATATACTCATTACTGGAAGGAGATAGGGAATTAAAATAGCTATGAAAATCTCTTCATCTTCTTGTTGATAACTCATTTTTCTTAACCTTTGTTAGTAACGGGTATGCCAGAGCACTCTTGGTTAAGACCTCCACACCAGTATACACTTCCATCCCAAAGCAGTTTTTCCTCTAGCTATCTTTTATGAAAATCACCAAAGGGAATAACTGTCAGTAAATAAGGAAAAAAGATAACGGTTATATCTATCAAAGCCATTCCAAGTTTAAAGAGGTGACAAAAAAAGACCAGTAATTTTATATTTTATAATTTCCAGTTTCTTCTTATGCCAGCAGTGAAGTCAAACAACAAGAATATTTATCAGCAGAACAAGAGTGAGGCATTCAGTACAATTTTAATTCGAAATGAATTTAAAATAGTCAGTTTAACTAGTGTATTTAGCTTGTTCTGCACAATGTAACTACAATGAATTGGCAATTTTTTTATGTTAAAGGTACTATGTACTATAATGTGATAAGAAAAGGTAATAAAGAAATGTATAATTAATAATAGTCATGCCTTCTAGTTTGAAAAGCAAACCTTCTAGTTTATTTCATTATTAACAATCCTCTTCTGTTTACATCTTAGATTCCCAATTACATCTCTTATTTTGTCCCATTCTCCTGCTTCCTCCCTTTTCATGTTTTGTGTCCTCTTCTACTTTTCCCCTTTGAATCCATCACTCAAGTATGTTTTCATGCTATCTTTACTGACCACATTCACTGTCCTATTTGTAAATACATTTATGCCAGTGGTTTTTGAGCAATGCAATGCTCTTATATAAAAATGCACATTATCACTGTTTTATACAAATTGAAAAAGATACACAAAACTGTGGAGTTAGAGCACCTCTGCCCACTTCATGCCCCTCTAATAAGCCTCCTTTAAAAAAAAAACAGCATACAGGATGCATTTCTCTTTACACCAAAAGCTTACTTGTAACAACACATTATTAATGGCAAATAAAAATTGGATACTAACAAAATAATAATAAAGCATTATCTGGAAACTTTAAGCAATCTTTATTTTGATAGCAGTCTTGGCATTAACAAAAATTTAGAGAAACGTTTCTGAACTTAGTCCATCCATTAATTTTAATATATTAAAATATTTCTTTTAATTTTTCCCTCCAGTTTATTTGTACAGTTAAAATTTGAGTAATTTAAATTTGTTAAACATTAAAATACCTTGGGGGTATATAAAGAAATAAAATATTTAAGTTGGAGACTGCTAATCCTGTAATACCTGACATAACTTTTCAAAGACAAATACTAGGACATGAGATAAATTAGAGTAAGGAGACAGGGTGCTATTCATCAGGGTTATGTTTAGGTGTTACATAAAAGGATGGAGAAGAAACTGAGAAATCACCCATTTCATGATTCAGACACTAGCTTTCTTACCTATTATAGAGAGCCGTTTTTTCCTCTCTGCTCCAAATACTGTGTTATCTAAATCTTCTAGTGATGGCAATGGTTCTAAATTAGTAGCCTACAAAGGAAAAAGGATGATTAATGCTATTCTTCCCCTTCAAGGCTTTAAACAGAATCCTCTCCCCTACCAAAAACAATCTAGATAATCTATATTGTTTGTGGGTCTTATCAAGTCTGCTCTTTGAAATTTTATTTTAACATAATTCTTCCCAAGTTTCTATTAGTTTCATATGTACAGAATATTAAACTTACTTTCATATATTGACTTTTACAGGCATAAATCCTATAATTCCTGTTCGGAAAAAAAAATCCCACAACATACCTGTATACTTCCATTTATTACAAGTAATATCTTGAGGCTCTTCATATGAATACTACGATCCAGCAGTTCCACAGCTTTGTCCAAGTCATCCTGGGTAGTTAATGGAATTACCAACTAAACGAAAAGGAACATAAGAGTCATGCAGCCATCTCGCGAGGTCAAGTCCTTCAGGGAGCATCTCCATTACTATGGAATTATAAATCTCAAAATACTTTGCTCTTTGATTGATCAGCATAATGAAATTCTGAATGCATATATATGTATCTAGACTGTTTTGCACTTCCTATCCTACCATCACTAAAATCACAGAATAAATGTGAACAGGTTTTTTTTGCTTTATTAATCATTAAATTCTTCTAGAAAACACATTTAGAGATTTTCTAGGATATTTCCATAATATTGCTAAACTTAATTTATAGTATCTTCACCTCCAAATAACATTAAGTACACACAAAAACTATAGAAAAATAAAAGGTACTATCTTTCATCTGAATTGATGAAACTTTTAGTGTTTTCTTCAATAGTAACCACTGACTTGATTTGCATTCTCATGAGGTGTGCTTATCAACATGCCAAATACAATGAGCATCTGTAACAGCTACAATGGAGGGGAACTCATATGCCTGACCCTGGTGACTTGACCACTACACTCTAACACAAATAAGCTAAATGAGTCAGCAATCCCACAGTGAATCCTGAATGTGGAAATCTGCTTTCATTAGTCCTCTCATAGACCAGATATTATAAAGCAGGAATCCCCAACACCTGGGCCGCGGACCGGTACAGGTCCATGGCCTGTAAGAACCAGGCCACATAGCATGAGGTGAGCGGTCAGCAAGCGAGCGAAGCTTCATTTGTATTTGCAGCTGCTCCCCAGAGCTAGCATCACTGCCTGCCTCAGCTCCACCTCAGATCATCAGGCATTAGATTTCATAGGAGCACCGGTCCCTGGTGCCAAAAAGGTTGGGGACCACTATTATAAAGGACAAAAAAGCACCTGGCAGGCCCGAGAACAAACATGATTCATATAATTTAACAGTATCAAAATACTTTTTTCTTTTGTAAAAAGTGTAAGGTTAGTAGCTTAGGATGACTCTGTCAATAATCTTCAAAGCACATTCGATTTCATTGAAAGAAGGAGAGAATAAAAACAAGTGAACATATCCCACACTTGTTAGCCTGCTCTAATCAACACAGTGTATAAGCCATTCAAATGTAAAAGCCTAGTTAGTTTTGGGTCTTCTACAGTATAAATTCCTTGAAATCAAGGACCCACTCCCCCAACTCCACCTCCTCCACACACACATCAACAATTAACACGGAGAACAGCAAAGAGCAAACACTTGACAAATATTGTTTAATAACTATCATAGAGTGAAAACTTCATTTGTACCCAAACCCACAGCTGACATGGTGTGCACTGATTCTCTGCAGATTTCTTTATGAAAAAAATTCAATGTTTTAAGAAAGCCTGCCAGACACAAATATAGCAGTTTCTGATGTGGTAGCAACTTAACTCTATATCAGCCTATGGTAAAATTGGTTTCACGGTAAGTTGTTTTGCTTATAAAGTTGCAGAACTTGTGGACAATGTTAAGTGAGGACTCATGTATAAAGCAGGACTAATGTGAATTCCATCATACAATCTACTAATGTTTACTCTATACCTGAAATTATATTTCCAATTTCTGTGTAACTAATTTTATACTATACAACTTATCAGCTAACCAGACCTTATTTTTCTCTATGAGAATTTTTTCTAATAAAAAAAGATTTTTAACTGGTATCATGGAACAAGCCTGATCTACTTAAACTCTTTTCATTAGCCTATCAATTATGAACCATATTGGTACATCTTGTTCCTATCTTTAACATTTTTTTTTCATTATATTTTAAGCACTAGAAAACATTTTAAAGCAATGATGAGGATTGTTTTACTAATATTTCGAGGAGAAAACCGTAATATTTATTTTTATTACATATATATTTATAATCGGAATGTATACTGCTCCAAGGTACTGTTGCTTTGGGAGGAAAAGACACTAGTTTAAATCATTGTATTAATGTAAATGATTTTGCTCTTCTTCAGTTTGCTAACATGAAATCTGGAGTGACAGCTTGGACTACTGCCTATGGTTTTGATACGATCCCTCACATGTTCTAAGGTCACCTATTACAAATTTTAAAATGAGAACTATGAGTCAATAAGTCCCAGCTTGTCTAAATTATACTAAATAAATTATACAATGTTTTCCTACTTGATGAATTCATTTTAGCCTCATTTCTGAAATTGATTTCCTTCTAGCTTATTGATAAATCCATTAAATGTTAATATAAATCTTTTCTGAAAAGGAAATTAAAATTTTAGTTTAAAAACCTACTAAACAGAACCTAAATTTGAAAGAAGTGAATTATCTTCCTGACTTTACATAGTGAAACATGAAAATAGTCCATAAAAAGGTTTTCCTTCTCTACCCATCATCTAAAATGGGTAGATTATAAAAAATCCACTTACTTTGCACAACCCCACTTCTATCCCCCATGGCAACATACACACAGACACATACACACCTGACACTTTATTAGAGAAACAGGAGCCCAACCAATAAATCCAACCAATCCCAGCATGAATTTCATGGTTGTTTGGGTTCTGGAAAACTTAAAGTTTACAGAATAATGTTTTTTTGTTTTTTTGTTTTTTTTTAGAAAAGAGAAATTTATATTATACTAGAAACTATTTATAGAATTGTAATAATAAGCAGTATAAATGAGATTTTTGCTTGTCCGTAGGTCCAAAAAACTAATACCCCTTATAAATTTGTAGCTCATACTCCCAATGTTTAAGGGCATGCACTGAGTGGGTCATAATGTGAATTAGGACATGGTTAATTCAGAGAATCACAGATTCTCACAGAATCTCTGAGTTGCAAGAAACTTCACACAACATAATCTCACCCTAATGCCTCCCCTACCACATTCCTGCCAAGAGGCCGTCCAGATATAATGGCAGAACCACTCCCAGAAATTCTTCAGAAAGCATGAGAAAAAGAAGCAGAAAATGGAGAAATTTTCCTATTTTTAGAAAAATGAGAACTATAGATCAATTAACTTAATGTCAGTCCTCAAGAAAACCCTACGAAAATTATAAAAACAAATTGGGAAAACTCAGCAAAGAAACAGTAATTCTAGGCACTAGAACAGGTACACTGTAAACAAATAATGTCAAACTAACATCATTTTTCTTGACAGACCTACTAGGCTGGTAGATCAAGATAATATTATAGTCTTACTGTATCTGGACATTTACAAGTTTTCTGTGATACAATTTTAAACCAAACAAAAACAAAGATGTATCTGGGTGCCCCTAGAAATGTAACATGAGATAAAGATTCAAATTCAAGCCTGTTTATATGGAAAAAGACACTAGGAAACACTGGTAGGGGGATGAGGAAGACAGAGAAGAGAAGAAGGCCCATAAAGAGTATATTATCCAACAAGTTACTGCTGTGACCAAGTGGAGTCTATCCGTCACCACTTCCCACTCCATCCTTGAGCCTCATCTCACATCTTACCCCCACACCCCAAAATGTACTTCAGCCTAGGCCAATCTTCTAGCCATGCCCCCTGAAAAGCCATCAGAGTTTCAGGGGCTAACAGTTGGAAATCAAGCCAGAACCAACAGAAATAAGTGTCAAGATAGGGTCAGGCACAAGAGGTGTTCATGGCTAACTGAAAAGCCAAAAAGTATTTGAAAAATAAAATTTTAAGGTATTACGACAGGATAGTACTCATCACTTTGTTCGAGGATGTTAGTTGTTTGGATGTGGATTTTTTTGTCAAAATATTTTGTTTTCAGCTTTAAGTGGTTTTCTTTAGATAAAGCTACATTAGCATATTCCTCTGCTTTAATAATTATTCATTTGAAATTATAATATTTTCAAATATTTTTATTCACATAATGCTTTTTTACATTTGCAAAGCAATTTCACATTTTCTAAAATTAATTTTTACTAAGCTTTCCACCATCACTCCAGTCCCACTGGCACTTTCCTATTCCTGAAACACATATGTCTTAGCCATCTCAGGACCTCTGCAGTGCTCTCAGGCTGCTTTCTCTACCAGGAACGTTCTTCTCCTCAAACTCTTTGCAAGGCTGGCTTTTCATACTTCAAGTCTCCATAATGAAATATTAGCACCTCAGTTAATTCTTTCTTAGTACCATTTAACTACGATACCTTGCCTTTATTCTTTTATCGTAATACTTTATGTATTTCCTTCAAAGAATTTCATAAATTTAAACAATTCATTTATTAATTGTCTGCTTCTACTACAAGTCTATAACTCCATGAGGGGCTGCAATTCCTAAATCATAGCATTATGCCTGGCAAATTCAACAAGTATTTTTTTTGGGGGGGGGTGGGGGTGGGTACAATAACAAATTAACCAGTTAACTAAATTGTCCCTCAAAATTTTAAGATCTCAAGATCTTGAGATCTCATAGGACATGAAGAAAACCTCAGAGGTCATCTAATCCAATGCAAATTTTACCAAAGTTCAAAAGGAGATTCCCCAGACACAGAGCTCCTCAATGCCACAGTGAACCCTCAAGATCATGTACTGACTCTCAAACATAAACATAATGATCTCACCATGTCTTAACCAACATGAAAATAATCCTATACGTTTAAACTAAACTGTCTCGCTACCAAAGCTCAGTCTCTGTAGCCAAATATAGAGCATGAGAAAAGACAGTTTACCAGTAAAGTACACAGAGTAAAAATAAAACATAAATAAGCAGCAAACTTTTAAGTAATACATACATTTCCTTTTTTAATCGATTCTCATTCAATTATTCTCACAGTAGCACCTTTTAATATTTTCAACAATGGAAAAATTCCATTTCAGTCAGTTAAAATTCACAAATTTAATTGTGCTATTTTATCCCTCTAATGTACTTTAATCCTCATCAATTCCTAAATAAAAGCACAACAGTCCTAAAACAATCTCTGAAATGAACACACTACTTTCCAAAACAAGAACTACTTGAAGTTAAACTTAACATATTTACCTCATTGTTGGTATAATGTAGATCCATAGATTGTCCAAAGGCAGTTTTAGCTTTAGACCTCAGATCTTCCAGTTTAACTGGTCTGGGGAACTGAAGGATTCTATATAGACAGAATTTTAAAATATTTTATTTTCTTGGGCATAATTAAATAACATACTTATAACAGTTATCTCTGGGGTGAGAAATTAAAAATAAAAATGTAAACTTTGACTTTACTTGAACATTCCACAAAAATGGCTCATTTTTGATCAAGTGTACTAATTCTCAACACAAAGTTCAAAAACTCTAAAGTTTCTTCTATCTTAGTAAAAATTATAAAAAGGAAATTCTCAAAATGTTCTGCAGTTTATAATTTGCGATGAAACTGTTATGTGAACATTAAAAAGCAGTGTAAAATGTTCACTGAGGAAAGTAATTAAACTTAACTATGAGACATACATACAATGGAATGCAACAAAACTGTTAAAAAGAATAAAGTCATTCTTTGGGTATTCAAATTTTGATTTCTGTACCCTATCAACTCAACATTTTCTGAGCTAATATGTAACAGGTAAGCATACCCCCAACATAAATAGTTTTGAATGATTAAAACATTTTAATTCTCATATTTTATTCATATATTGCAAAAGATTGGCCTGTGCTGCCTGGGGAGCTTGCACTGAAGCTTGGAGCCTATTACTAGACTGTAAGCTGTATCACTCACTCTAACCCTTCATGGCCCAGAAGACAGTAAGAACTCAATAAACAGCACTCCATGAATGAAAAACAAAACTGAGAATATCCATATAAGAACTGAAAATAGGTAAAAAGCAGATTTTACAGCACTTGTATATCTGGTATATCCCTTTTTTTTTTTAACATCTCTGGTAAAACATTTTTACATCTCAGGTGATATGATTTCTGAGCCTTTTTAAGTCCTTAAAATAGACATATTTTATTAAATTAATTTAATGAAACACAAATAACAGAAATGAAATCTCATGTTCTCCAACTTCTATTAGGCCTTGTTAGCAATGCTATTTTTAACCACAACCACCCACCTCCAGCACTGTACTGAGATACAGATATCCAGTGGAAGGTTAGGCTTACACCTCTGCTAAACGATTTACAGCCACCATTCCAACCCACTTTCCTCAATGTTACTAATATGTGTCATATGATTGCAGTCTCTTGAGAATAATCAAAATTGTGAATGTTAAATCCACATACATAAATTCTGTACAGTATGTGAAACAATGATATAATTATGAAAAGAAAAATTATATTTAATTTTCACTGAGTAAAATAAAAGGAAATGGTAATATTTAAAGGCTGCATTATAAAATGATCTTATTTGTTTCCTAATATTGCAATGTAAAAATATTCATCATTTCTAATGTTTAGCCTGAATTTTGACAAATTCTCTTAAGTCTAAATACATATTACACATTACCAAGGACTATTACATTCTCAAATGGTAAGCCATGAACCTTCATTAAAATATAGAAAGAACCTCTCATAGCTTTAAGTAGGACACACATTTAATTAAATCAATAAACTGAAGTGTAATGTGTTTTTCCTTACCTTTTTTCTCCTCTGTGTTCAAATTTGACTCGTACATCATTCTGTAATGAAATGATAAATCATTCAGAGATCAGATAAAATTTCTAGAATTCTTAAATCATTTTTCCTTAGTCATTCATTTATAATAGAAGAGAGAGAGAAAGAGGTTTCATTCTCAGCATCAACTTCAATCGATAGCATCTGCCAAAGAGCTGAGTTGAGAATTATGTTGCTGAATCTGGGCTCAACAGGAAAGAAAGGTCACTAAGATCTATTAGCGACAGCATCATGAGTATGACACATTTGCTAATAGTGTTAGAGGGAAATATAAAACACTATATTTCCACTTTTGTGTTGAACATCCAAAACTAATTTTACCTATAACAATCAAAATGATCCACATTTGTGTATATACAGATTATTTTAAATTAAAAAAGTGCTTATTTTAAGTACTTTAAGAATGGATAAAATATTAGCAGTTACCGTATCAAATGAAACTCAACTATTTTTTTAAAAAACAGACTCTTACGGAAAAAATGTATAACAAACAAAATATTTGATTCAAAAGTGTAAACCCTAAGTACTTTAAACAAACTCTCAATAAGATCAGGATATTCAAGGAAAATAAATCATAGAACAACAATATGTATTTATTAAAACACTGAAATAAATACCTGCTTTTTTGGTGACAAAGATTTTGTTTTTCTGGTTTCCTGTAAGGATAATGCTGGTCGGCTGGCCTTATGAAGAACAGCCAAATCTTGCATGATTGAGTTCAAAGCTTGTTGATCATCTAGATATGTTTTAAATTACATATAAATAGAAATATAATTTTAATATGTATTTATTATAGACATAAAACACAAAATTTATGATGAAATTTAATGCAAAATGCATCTAGAACATTTTCAATGCCTACACTTGTTATTTTGGTGAAATAAAATTTTAATTATTTAAAAACTGAAGACAAATAACAAAATAGCACAAGACTCAAGCATTAGCATCATACTAGGTGTCCAACACCGAGTTACAGGCATGATAAAGTCATTCTGCTTCTAATGACGTAAGAGCCTAGGATATGGGTCAAAACAGCCTTGTTATGACAAATTCTGTTCTATGACTCCTAAGCAAAATATCAACAAGATACCTAAAATCTTTTAAAAAGTAGGGGGGATAAATAACTTTCTATAAATACCATCATTACTTAGCATTTATGTTCAAAGTACAGAATTCCTTTTAGAGTTCTTTCATCAGTACTTCAAGAAAGAAACAACAAAAAAGCTTTATCTGTGGATAATGGCCCACTGGTTTTTAGAACTGTTTTTCTTGACCTTCTGCCCCATAATGTTCAACAGGACTACAAACATTTAAGACTATTTAATGATCTTGGACAGCAACTATTCAAAAGCTAACAATACAAGAAAAATTCATTCCTAAGAAAAAAATACTGAACTCATAAACTGAGTGAAGGAATCATTAACCATAAGCTTTCATCCTTTCCAAATATTATCAAAGATTTCTTTCTAAGACTATAAGCATGAGCCTCCTAGTGATGCCAATTATATGCTCTCTGGAAAACTTCAGGGACAATTGATTTTCACTAATAAATCAATTCCACTAATAATAATCAACATTGGTAAAGGAAATGAGGGACTTTACAGTTTATATTTTAAAATGTAACCATTTTGGTGAGTAATAAATTATGTTCCAGAGTAGTAATAATTAAACCATGCTTTATCTGGTATGAAAAAAATCATTAAAAAGAATATGGCAATTCAATGGCTTCATCAGTCTTTCAAACACAAACACCTGACTTCTCTAATGTATTATTATTATTATTTTCACTCAGACCAACAGGGGCACAGGGCCATGTAGGGGCTTTATTTGATACTACTATGTTTCAATACAAACAGTCCAGAAAGAAAGTCAAGTCCCTTTGGGGCAGGGTGTGGTGGGAAGAGTGGTTTGTGTTGCTTGGGATCCCAACCCTCAACCTGAAGGGGATTGGGTGGGCCTAGACTGCCAGCATGGCTGGGAAAGATGGCACCAAGGATGATACCGTGCAAGGCCTAGGGGCCAAGGGGTGAGGCTTGCAGCTCTGTAGGTATCTCAAACTCTCACTGGTGGGGTGCTGTCCAGGACCCCCTAAGCCCAGGGTGATGCAGAAGAAGAAATTTGAGCCCCAGGAGCCTGCTTCTGTCCCTCATGTCCTCTGCTTCCCTGGCCAGCATTATGCTCATAGCATCCAGAGCAGAGCACCACAAAGCAGATGAGACCTATTTTGGCCACCAAGCAGAAGAGGAAAGGACAAAGTCTCAGGAGAAGAAAGAGGGTCCTGTGATCCATATAGATGGTAACGACTGACAAGAGGAAAAGTATAATCCTTCACAAAGTATCCTCTGTAAAATAAAAATTTCATCATAACATTAGCTTCGCCAGTAACTGAGCCAGCTGGGTATATTATAATCACAATATATGTACTGTCCATGGGTCCATGCCAGACAATGTCATTAACTGATAAAAATAAATCTCCTTTAGGAAAAGAATAAGCTGAGAATCATCTAAAGTGGAATAAAATTACCTGATGAAACCTTTCTGAGAAAGGTAAGATCCTTAATTGGAGAAAGGGGAAGTCTAACACTTAAACATATCTATGTTTTAATTATTTTCTTAATTAGAAAAAATTTAAATACTTGAATTGAGGCATTTTTACACATTTAATATCACAATACCAAAATAAATAAATAAAAAATGCCCAGAAGGTTTTGGCTCAAATCTCTTATCACACTTATATACTAATTTCATTGTTTAAAAAAAATGAGTACCATTTTCTATCTATTGTAGATACACAAAAAATAAAGAGGGCCACTGGAATATAAGTAACTTCTTAGAGAGATGACATACTAATAAAGGGCAAACTAATTGAGTTCCTTCTTCCTCTGGTTTGAAGAAGAATCATATGGTAGATACCCACTAGGAAACATACTTTGAGGAGACTGACAAGTTGTAAACTAACAAACTCACAAAAGATCAAGCCAAGTGGCAAGCTGAGATATTCACACAATGAGCACTACCTCTAACAATTCTTAGGACCGTTTTACTCTATTATGAATCTCTGTGGCGGTCATAAGTACTAGGTAGATTAGATAGGTTATCAATGTTATAAGGATGAGTTGATCCAATAGGCAGTAAGGATGCCCAAAGGATTCTAGAGTCTGACAAACAGTCACACAGAAGCAACAGTGTGTTTCTGACACATGCTGAAAGGACAGTTAGTTGAATACAAAAATGAAAAATGTTTGGGAAATAATTTCAAATAAAATCCTTTATTAGGCATGTTTAATTAGATATCTTATATGCTTATTCATTATACTTGAAAAATAATTACAGGAGGACATCCTCAGGCAAAAATTCAAATATCTGTGATTCACACTTTAAAATATTCATGGTTTTCTGTGACTACCTTTGTATGTGTTTTTAAGCAATGGACGTTCTTTGTGTTGTTGCTTAGTATAGTGAAGTATTTGAGAAGTACGGTAGAAATAAACATGGCCCAGATTGCAAGTAAGAGCAACCAAAATGAAAAGTTGGTAGAAGTTCAATAAAACGATATCCAATTTACTGGAGGTGAAGCTGACAAGAGTGGAGAATTTGGACCGCATGATGGCACTGCATTCATGGTTACAAAGAGAAAGTGAAAGTGGAGCTCTGGCCTACACACTTGTCACAAAGTAAAACACACTGAAAGTGTGCTACCCCTTCCCTAAAGAACATGGTCAAATTTAAGTCCTTTGGCCTATAATGTCATATATATACATATAAGAGTGGATAATACATTTGTTAAGAAAGGAGGAGGGAAAGTGTGACTAAGACAAACATGGGCAAGTATACATCAGAGTTAAGATACCACTATCAGTATAAGTTTAAAAACTTAGCTTCCAACTACTTCTCAGTCCATTTTTCCCTATTTAGGATAGGGTGGGCCGTTTGCTCCATTTCTTTCTAGTGTTTCTCTGTTCAATCACTGTCTCAAATTGGAACTGTCAACCCCAAGGAGAAAAGAAAAAACAGAAAAAAGGATATAAAAAAGAAAACCCAATACATAAACTGAACACTTATGATCCAATTCCATCCTTTAGTCTTCCTTTTCCTACCACAGGATATTCACAAGAGTTATAAAACATATCCTCCCTGAGTGCCAATGATTTGCTGTTCTATTGTTATAACATTTTACAACATACTATTTTTTGCTGCTATTTTCTTTTGTCTATATTATTACATTGTTGGGTAATTATAACAATTAATTCCTAAGGATTTATTTAATCTTTAAAAGTCAGGTTCATTTATCAAGTATTCCTTCTGGCCATTAGACTGTAAGAAAATCACAATCCATCTTAACATTTTATTTGGGATGGCCCTTCTATGTCCTGCATAAAATGATCATTCCAAAACTGTACGAATACAAGAAGGCTTTATCTAAAAATGTATTAAGTAAATATAAAAAGTTACATAAATCTACAACATAAAATTTCTTTATGAAAAAAGGTTATCATACATGCAGAGAAAAAATTTTCTCCGTCATTTTATTCTTTAATTATAGATTTAAAAATTTCTTTAGTTTGAACTCACCCATCATGGCAACCAGCTCAACACTCTGAAAATCAGGGAAATAGTTCTCCCATCAGCATTCTTTACTGCCCTAAGAGGTAAAAAGACAAACGCATTAATAATAAGAAATAGAAGAGGCACCCAATACACAAACACACACAAAATATCAGTTAAAAACACTACTAAGAAATGTATGATATTAATACTTTACACATTTTGCTGGGAAGAGGTGCTTTATTTCTCCCAGATACTCGATTACTGAGAATGACCTAAAAATCATTATTATTTTATACTAAATTTAAATCCATATTTTTCAGGCTCCTGTCTAAGCTAGAAAAAAAAAAAAAAACAATTTTTGAGAGTCAAAAACTTTAACAGATAGATAATCTAACAAACTTAAATTCTTACAGGGCAATGGCAGATATAAAGATGAATAAAAAGGGTCATGTTTAAAGACAAAAGGGAGGTTGTCAACAAAAAACAGTAAAGACCAACAAAAGTTCTCCCTTCCATAAAAGAAAAAATAGTCAGAATCAATTTTTTCAGAACTCCACAATTAACCAAGGCTTGAAGCAATCTGGGCAGTATTTAAGAATCTCAATAAAAAGAGAGAGTGTTGTGGTTTTCCAACCTTCTCTATTCCTATCTCCCTACTCCTTACTCCAAGCTCCAAAATAACAATATAAATCAACAGCCAACAGTCACCATGAAAATGAATAACCTAGAACCCATCATAAAGGGCAGAATGAGGCTGGAATGTCTTCAAAGTCCAATTCTCCCAAAATTGTCATTATTTGTCTGAGCTAGTGGTTGGATGGTAGACCCCACTTGACAAGTTGTCTTTAACCTGATCAAAGCTTTTCCAGTGCAAAGAGCTTGGGATGTTTGCTGAAACCAATCAGGCCATTATTGCATTATCTCAACTGTCTGAGGAAGAGAAAACAATAGTTTAACAAAAAAATTTTTTAAGAAAAGCTGAGGAATGAGATGTCAATAGAAACCTTTGAAAAACTCCAAAAGATTCCTGAGAATCCAGAAGTCACAAAATATCCAGAGCTGTTGAATATTCAAGAAAGGCCTAAGAAAGCCGTAGGCTTTCACCTTTGGCTAACCTTGAGGCACTGTGCTGCAGTAAGTGAAGACTAAGGTAGAGTTGTAAATGCCTAGAAGAATGTCCAAGGCCAGAGCCAATACACACAGAGAGAACCTCTCAAAAAAGAGTGTGAGACTTATTAGTTCCAGGCATCTAAGGAAATCTCTATCTAATCATTAGCTGACAACTGAGCAGTCTTCAGTGACTACACAAAACAAAGAATACAGATTTAAAAAAATTAGTTCTGAAAAGTCACTAAATAAATAAGAACGATAAACAAAAACACTGGGGAGAGAGGGAAATCTGATTCTCAAAAATGGAACATTATAATATTTAAAATGTCCAGTTTTCAAGAAGAAATTATGAGACATACAAAGACAATATGGAAAAAGAAATCAAAAGAAACTGATTCTCAGAAAGCCCAAGTGTTGGACTAAACAAAGATATTAAATCAGCAATTTTAAGTATGTTCAAAGAACTAAAGATGCCATCCATGTCTAAGAAACTAAAGAATGTGTAAGAATGATGTCTCACCAAACAGAATATCAGTAAAGAAACAAAAATTATAAAAAGGAACCAGATAGAAATTTTGGAGTTGGAAAGTACAATTAACAAACCATCGAGCACACCAACAAACATATAAGAGGAGTCTCAGAAGGAAAGGAGAAAAAGAAGGGGGCGGAAAGAACAGTTTAAGAAATAATGACCAGAAGGGTTTGGCACAAAATATTCAAAGTGACGAAAACCTAGGACCTACAACCAAGGTCTCTACCCAGCAAAGCTATCATTTAGAATCGAAGGATAGATAAAGAGCTTCCCCCGCACCGCCAAAAAAAAAGCTAAGCCAACATACAGGAAATGTTGGAGGGACTTCTTTAAGAAGAAAAAACTATATGTCAAAAATATGAATAAAGAATGGCAGTAACTACATATCTATCAACAAGTACTTCAAATGAAAAAGAATGAAATGCTCCAATCAAAAGATAGGGTTGGCTGAATGGATAAGAAAACAAGACCCTTACATAGGCTGCCATAAGAGGCTCACTTCAGATTAAAAGACACACACAGATGGAAAGTAAAGGAATGAAAAAAGATATTTAATGATTGACCTAGATGGTATTGTGCTGAGTGGAGTAAATCAGACAGAGAAAGACAAATGCCATATAATTTCAAGTATATGTGGAATCTAAAGAACAAAATAAACAACAACAACAAAAAAACAGAAACAAACTCATACAGAGAACATTTTGAAGGTTACCAGATGGGAAGGGGGCACTAAATTTATTGGAGTGATCACTTTGTGTTATACAGATGTCTAATCACCATGTTGTACACCTGAAACTACTGTATACCAACCATATTTGAAAATAAAAAATATTATTAAACAAAAATGGCCAAAAACTTCCCGAATTTGATGAAAAACAACAGGCACATCCCAGAAGCTCAACCAACTCCAAGCAGGATAAAATCAAAGTGATCCACACCTAGATACATCATAATCAAACTGTTGAAAGATAAAGAATCTTAAGAGCAGCAAGAGAGAAGGAAATTATCATGTGTAAGAGATGCTCAACTGATTTATCATTGGTAACCTAGGAGACCAGAAGGCAGGAGAATGACATATTCAAAGTGCTGCAAGAAAAAGACTGTCAACCAATTATTCTATATCTAGCAAAACCATCCTGTAAAACTGAAGATAATATTAAGATATTCCTAAATAAGCACAGAAAATTCATCACAACCGTCCTACATGATATATAAAAGGAGTCGTTCAGACTGAAATGAAAGGACATTAGACAGTAAATCCAACCCACAGGCAGAAAGAGCACCAGTAAGGATAATTACTTAAGTAAAGGTAAAAGACAGGATAGATATATTTTGTTTCTAGCTCTTTATCTCTCCTGACTGTGGTAGGTACAAAAATGGTCACCTCAAAGATGCCTATGTCTCAATTCCTAGAACCTCTGCAAATATATTACTTCACATGACAAAAGGGATTTTGCAGATATGATGTTAAATTTAAGATGGCTTATTTGTTTGGACCCCACATGATCAGAAGGGTCCTTAAAAATAAAAGGTACAAACAGGAAAGTTTCAGAATGATGCTGTATAAGAAAGGTTTGATCAGACATTGCTAGCTTTGCAGATGGAATGGAGGAGTGACCATGAGTTAATGAATGCAGGAAGCTTCTAGAAAGTGGAAAAGGCGAGAAAATGGATTCTCCCTTAGAACCTCCAGAAGAAACATAGCAATGCTGACACCTTGATTTTAGCCCAGTGAGGCTCATTTTAGACTCTTTACTTCCAAAATGGTAAGATAATAAACTTATGTTGTTTTAAGCCAGCAAATTTGTGGGAATCTGTTACAGCAGTATGTAGGGAGTATTCAAGACCACCCAAATTTCAATGACATGCTAGAGGACTCACAGGACTCAGTAACTCAGTCAAACCAACAGCTATTATTTATTATGACAAAAGGATACAAAGCAAAATCAACAGAGAGAAGGCACGTGGGGCGAAGTCCAAAAGTAGCCAAGGCAAACTCCTAAGGCTCCCTTTTTAATAGAATCATATGACACACTTAATTTCCTCAGAGGTTAGCCATGACAACAAACATGACATGTCAACAACCAGGAAAGACCATTAAAGACTCGGTATCCAAGGTTTTGATTAGGGGCTGATCATACAGGCATCCTCTGCCTAGTACATACCAAAATTCCAGATCCTCAGAAGAAAAACAGATGTTCAGCATAAACTATATTGTTTGTAAGCATCTTAGGCATAGTTAACCATTGTTATCAGTTAGACAGGTGGGAATTCTCTTGGAATCCAAGTTCTCAGATGCCAGCCAAGGGTGGACCTCATAATTAATTCATTCTAAGGATAAGCAGTGAGGCCTGCTAGGTTAACTCTTCTCTACACAAGTAGCAACCAGAAACTAATACACACGTTTTAAAAAAACTGCATAAAGCAATAATTCTAAGTGTGTTGTTGGGCATACAATATATAAAGATATAATTTGTATAACAATAACAGGACAAAGGGGAGAGATGGAATTATATAAAAATATTTATACCACTGTAATTAAATTAGTATTAACCCAAACTACATTATTTTAAGTTGAGATGTTAATTTTAATCCCCAGGTCAACCACTAAATAATAAATTAAAAAACAAAAACAAAAACAAAAAAACAGCAAACAAGAGAATTAAAATAGCACACTAGAAAATATCACTTTAACACAAAAGAAAGCAGTAATGAAGGAATAAGGGGGAAAAAAATCGCACATAAAAATATATAAATTGGAAGATGTAACCCTATCTTATGTGTAATTATATTAACTATAAGTGAAATTAACAAACAAGTTAAAAGGCAGAGATTAGCAAACTAGATTAAAAAACATAATCCAACTTTATGCTACCTATAACAGGTACACTTTAGATTCAAAGATAAAGTAGGTTGAAAGTAAAAGGATGTAAAGATATACCATGCAAACAGTAGCCAAAAGATAACTGGAGTGGCCAAACTAATAGTTGACAAAACAGAATATAGTATAAAAAGGATATTTATAATAAAAAAAAGCCAACTCATCAACCAGATTTAGTAATTATAAACATGTATGCACATAACAAGACTCTCAAAATACATGAAAAAAATGACAAAAGAAGTATACAATTCGAAAATAATGGTTGAAGATTTCAATGCTCTATTTGCAATAATGAATACAATCACAGAAAAATCAATGAAAAACGGAAGATCTGACTAACATTAAAACTACTAAACTTAATAAACAACTATAGAACCCTCAAACTCAAAACAGCAGAAGACACATTCTTCTCAAATGCAAGTAAAACAATATTCCAAAACAGACCATGTATGTTAAGGCAATAAAACTAATCGCATTAGGTATAAATGGACTGAAGTCATATGAAGTATGTTCCTTGACAACAATGTAATAAAATCAGAAAACAATAACAGAAGGATATTTGAGGAGTTCA